ATTACAGCTCTCTCACACCCCTGTGTAATACAAAAGGCTTTTGGTCTGTAAAAACACCTCAGAAACTTCAACAGAGATTTGTGCAGAGAGCAGGAATAGCATCACATGATTTCTTTTTCTTGATATCTTCAGGGTTCAAGTGTGCTCCACACTACATAATATCGGCAGAGGTCATTTCTATTTATCATGAGCTACAAAATCACAGAAGGGCTGAGGCTGGAAGGGACATCTGAAGGTTGTCTGGTAACCTTCTGCTCAAACAAGATCATCTAGAGCTGGTTGCTCAGGGCTATGTCCAGGCAGCTTTTGAATATCTCCAATGGTGGCGATTCCACAACCTTTCTGAATATCTAGGAAAATGGGTGCAGAAGTGCTGGCTATTTTGAAAGAGTAAAGTGCACAAGTTTTTAGAATTTTCACCCCATTAGAAGGGCATGCTCTGAAATCAAGACGTATTCCAGCAGCATCAATAGGGAGGAACTGAAAGTTAAAGAATCTGCCTACTTAAAGACAGAATTTTACAAAAAGGTAAAACATTTAAGTGTGTCATTCTATTTTGCCAATGTGTCCACCTGATGCTCAAGTGTCTCAGCTTCGGAGCAGGGTAACTAGCCTCTGCAAATTTCCTAAGTACTCCCTACCCTCACTGTTTCTAGAGCTTCAGCTTTTCTGTTCCTGTTGTTAAAAGGAACAACCGTAGCCCTCGTCCTATGAAAAGTGTCCTTCTGTCCTCCAAGACTGGAAGATTTTTCCTCTCTCTTCTAGTATAGATGGACACTAGATACCATACAGTACTGCAGAACAGTGGCATCTCATACTTTACTCTTCTTAACTGTTAATCTTTAAATAGTTGAATTCTTATTTGATATATTGTATATCTCACCTAACATGTTTCAAACTTGGAATTTTATGCTGATATCTTTTTTCCTAAGTCTAGCAAAACACAGTGATGTATGTGCAAATTGTATGTCATAAAGACTAGTTAAGATGCAGGCTTCCTTTATTATTCATAATGCACAGCCTTGTGCAAGCTTTGCACAAGGCTTACAAATAATATATGAAGAGAACAAAAGCTTGCTCTGAGGACAGACTTGCTGACTGAATGCAACCTACTCTTCCTGCTTAGCAATACTGCTGGGATGCATTCACAGAGAAGCTGCTATTTTTTAACCAGCTGACTTCTATCCCTTTTGCACCCAATACCCTCCTTAAGATCTACATCTTTCAGGCAGTCCTCAAAACACAAGAGGGTATTTAAGGATCCTTTCCTCACAAAGAATATTTTTTATTTCCATAATGAAAACATAGTCTTTCTGGGATCTCTTGTGTTAACTGTCATCATCAAGTCACGTCTTCATCTCACTTGCAAGCTCTTCAGAACGTGAGACAGGAATGGGCCCCAGCTGCACGCACTGCTGGCAGCATGGCCATGCTGGCTTTGCTGAGGCCAACACATTGCTTCAACAATGCTTTCTTGGGTTGCCTTGTTTCCTCATTGGTGTGTATGGGCAGGGCTTTTGAATTCAGAGCACAGTCTGCACATCAGTACGAGAAAAATCTGTGGGTTAATTCCTACCCAGACCAGCTAGGTTTCTAGTTGGAACTTGATGATCTTAAGGTCCTTTCTAACCCTAACTATTCTATGATTCTATGATTCTATAACCTGTACTTCCAAAATTACCTGTGTTGAACAGGTAGCTTGGTTTCATACAAAGAGGTGAGATCTTGCTTTACAAGGTGCATAAGAAATGAAACTCCGAAAGAAGCCAGGCTAGCAAAGTATCCTTCTTCACTGACTTCTGCGGCTGAAACGTGTGTGGTTTGTGTGTGCAGGCTCCTGGTACGGCTCAGCTCTTTCTCGAGAGGGAAGTGGCTTTGGTCAAGGCTGGTCACTTTTAGAAAGTTCACTAGCTCAGACAGGTTCTGTGTGTTCAGCACAGAGCCCAGGATGGAGGTTTGTGCCCAGGGCCATGAGTTGCATGAGTGAGGGGCTGCACTGCTTCTGCATCCTGGGTGGTCTCAGGGAATATCATCCTGTCACATCCAGGCTGGTTCTACCACATTTATGTTACTTCAGGTCACTGGCAACTAACGAAAACTTCGTTGTAACAGAGTGCTCCTATTTGTAAAACCACAGTTTAATCACTGAAAGCAGCTGCAGCTAAACTGAGGTTTAAAACAAAGCAGACCATATCACAATGGGAGGACGCTAAAGCAAAGCGCTCATTGTACCTATCAATTACCACTATCCATCTATTCTGATCTAGTGTACACTACTGCCCCCATAGATTATTTCCTGTCTCTTTCAAGACATGTAACAGTGAAGGCCTTTCCCTCATTTTGCAGACTTTGGCTACAAAGTCGTAAATTTTCTTTACACAGTAAGCAAATTATTCACTTCACTGAATTGTTCTTGGCAATCACCTTTAAGAACAGTGGCAACGTTTGCTGTGACATGCCATATGTGTCTGTGTCTGCCTAGTCTTTGGTCTTTGCACATTTGACAAAATAAGCACAGTGGCAATGAACAGCAAGGAGAGCATCTCAGAATTTCATTGCTGTGATGTAGTTTCACCTAGCTACATAGCGAAAGGCAGCACTAACTCTTCAGAAACAGATGACCATTTCCTTTGGCCTTATCATCAACCTCTCAGTGCATCTGTCAGTGGAGCACATGGGAAGTAATATCTTGCAGAAGAAATTCCAACAGAAAGCAGCTGTGTCTGTGAGTAAGAGTATATAGATATAGGTATGAGTAAGAAATATTACCATATCAATTTCAGAGCTTCACAATCCTCATTTGAGGATCTAGCGTCCTCATTTTGGCTGAAAATTGATCTTTTTTCTCCTTGAAACAATTTACTACTTGCCTACTCTGCAGTGAATGTTGTGAGCAAATTATTGTCTTTCTCCTAGCACCTACAATTCTGTGCACATGAAGATTTGTGTCATACCCTTTCTGCTTGTTTTGTTATCTAGGCCAAACAAATTTGGTTCCTTCCAACTTTCTTTGTAGGTCATGCTTTCTACACCATTGGTAACTCATGTTGCTCTTTGGTGCACTTTCTTCCGTTGCTCAGTGGCTCTCCTGAAGTACCAAAACTGGGCTTCGTTCTGCACTTGGGTTTCAACAGTACTGAGAGTATCAAAGGAATTATGTAGCACCAGAGCGTAATCAACACTCCTGCTTTTACACTCTGGGATAATGCTCCTTTTTTTCTAAGTATGATGATTACTTTTTAACTTGCGTTTAGGCTGTGATCCCCTCTATGATGTGTTTTCTGCAGGGCAGTTGCTAACAAATGTCCTCTCCTCTGTACTTCGGCAATTGCTTTATTGTGTAGAATTGTTCATTTGTTAAATTGCTGTTGGCTTTGGGTTTCTAAAAAGCATCTCCAACTTTTAAGAGTTCATTTCTATTCTCCTTTTGTACTCCAACTACTTGTGTTTCAGTCTCCCTGTGCTGGAATTGCTACCTCTATCCTGTTATGTAATCAGTAGTTTTACTCACCGAAAGTTTCCTGTGAAGGTGGAGAGCATGGGGACACCTTGCAAGTATCTGGAAGACTATAAAACAACTGAGTTTACACAGGAAGGTTTTCTTAGCTTTCCACAAGTGAAGAAAGTTGGTGCAGATGGAAACACAGAAAGGTCAGCTTCAACAGGACAAAGTTAATAATCCCCCTTTCCCATACTGTGGAAACCAGAATATCACAGATGTCTGTTCCTTTTCTCTGAGTCAAACCACCAAAGCCTTGGCCTTTACCTTCTCTGAGGTGGAACTGAGCTACTTCCCAAGTCCCAAGTCACGAGCTGGGTGTCATTTCTAGCCACAACCTTAACCATTAATACCAACAGGAGTTCAGAATAGCTAAGGAAATGGTCAGAGGTCTTTCCAACAGAATACAATGCACTTCCAGGAGTCCAAGACATATAGGGGCCTCATATAAAGCTAGCTGTATCTCCTTAAGTGTAACTTCACAACAGCTCCTGCCCATCTACAAGGAGCAGGCTCTACTGCCACAGGGTGCTCCCTTTCCACTGTGCTGATCTTCCCCCATCTGTCAGTGTTTTCATTGATGCATCCTTGTTGACCCCTCAGCCCTGAGAAGTTTTAGGTCTCCTTTAATCCTTGGGTAGTGTATTCTGTCCTTGCCTTGCTAGAACCAACTACTGTTATCTTAACACCTTTGAAGCATTAATCTGAGACACAATTTCTGTGTTGTTCTTTTCCCTTCTTGTTCTTCTCCATGTTTTTTGCAGTTCCTGTGGACTCAGTTCAAGGCATTCAGCCATGTAATGGTGCAAAATTAGAGAAGAAAAAAGAACCACAAATAGATTCAGACAAAAATACCATAAAATTTCGAGTCTGACACCCACCATTTGCCAGTTCAGTGGCTTGTATCTGCTACTGTTCCCTGGAGATTAACATGCAAGCAAATGCAGGCTGATATTCACTCTTTCTACCAAAGTTTGCATATCTACTGCCATGAAACCTGAGCACAGAGCATCAAGAGTTGCAACATGTAAGTTATACATTCTTCTGCCTCCGTATTTGCTTTCTGAACTTCCCCTACCGCAGAAATAAAACCAAAACAGCCAACCAAACTCTCCACTGCCACCGTAAATATTTCTGTGGGGAACTGCTCTTAATGTAGTTCATTAATTTTACAGAAAGTCATGTCGGGGGGAATGTGTCTACAGCTGCATCCTGACTTTCTGCAGATCACAACCTGTAAAGATCAGTCCATTTCCCTCCAGTGAGCTCGGAGCCATGACCTGATAATTTCAGGCTTTCAAAAATAAAATAGTATGTGCTAAGCTGAAAGCCAGATACACCAGATGGTACCAGTGCCCAAAGTCACCTACAAGTGAAGGTGTTCTCTGTGTCCAGAGGTCCCGCAGACAATGTGCCATGCTGTAGAAATTAGTTGTGTCGATCTGGTCTAGAGAAAAACATGACGCTACAGCCATCAGCAGCACTTTATAAGTAAGGACACCCCAGAGAGCTTGTCCACACAGCAACTTTCTCTCATAGTGCACATTTGCCATCACCTTGAAAGTAGAGTTGCTGTGTGTGAGATGGGCTGTAGAAACACATGGTACTCAGCAGGGCATGAGCAGGGATATCACAGCCAATTGCAATCAAAAAGCTCTGAAGATGGTTGCTTCTCTGTCAGAAGTCAATAATTTCTCAAAAGTATTTTGCACTGCATCGATTTCAACAAACAAACAAAATAGAGAAATGATTCACCATCAATTTGTTTTTAATGTTCAAAATAAGTTTTTATTACAGGTTTTAAAATGTGTACTTGTTAGACAAAATAAAAATTGAGTATTTGTTAAAAACAAAACAAAATTGCTGATTACCTTAGGGGTTTTTAAAATCAATTTATTGGGAAATTTTGATTGCTTCAAGTTTGTTCTATCTCTGGTCAGACTTGTCTTCTGATTTTGTGGCAATCTTTGTGAAATGGGAACTCCATTTACTATCTACCCTTGAACTGAGCAGCTGATCAGGCTTTTTCCTGATTTGTCTGTAAAACCTAACCTGTTGTATTTCTTTACTTTTTAAAAATTGCATTAATTTTATTTCTAAAAGGTAGAACTTTGATGAAATCCTACTGTTTCTTCCTGCTATGTTTTGTATTTGCAATGATAACAAAACTTCCCATATGGGGATTCTTTAGTATCATTTAAAAATTACTTCCAACTAAAAGAAGAAAAATAACGTTTTCATGACACGTATTGATTTCTTTTGGATAACAGCATGAGTGAATCAGAAGTCATGATGTAATTTTGGTAAAATATTTACTAAAGTACCATGAACTAAAGAAGCATGGGGGTGGAGCTTTCATTGTGATGATAGTCTTTGGTAATGGTTTTGTTGTGAACATTGGCACTTCCCACCGATCAAGTAATACATACATGCCAGATTTTTTAAATGAAATGACCACATCTCAGGTTCAAGAGCTGTTATTCCTTTCCCCAGAGCCGATAAAGCTGTGTTTGGTGAGCTGGATAGGGTCTAGAAATGAATCGTCAAGAAGGTTTGATCTTCCAAAAATTAAATCAAAATGGTGAGATGACCTCAAGTTTCCTTCAAAAGAGGCAATTTTGTCAAAAGACATGGTGATGTGAACATGCAGTGAGTCCTGAGAGCAGAACCAAGCTCTCAGTGTCTTCCCATTTTTCTTTGCAGGTCTTTTTTTCCCTTTAAATCTATTTTAGGAGCTTCAGTGCACAGTTCCCACCCTGTGACAGCAAAGGAGTCTTTATGTGGTGTAGGCTAGAACAGACTGCAGTGTAGGAGGATGGTGGATCACTGTAGCTTCATATTACAAGCAAATTTAGCAAGTACTTTAAAAAGCCAACATAAGAGATAACATCAATAAAATCATGATCAAAAAAAAGTCTAGAAATATAAATCTGAGGCTTATTTTATTCTAAGAGCATGCCTAAGTGGAGAGACAGGGACTGGGGATGTGGGAAAAGCAAATTATTACAATAGTAAGAAAGAAAGTCAACCCAAATGACTGATTTCCTGGTTGACTCACAGTCTATTATATTAATAGGATCATTTATTAATCTTCAACTAAATCTTCTTTTGCCTTTGTTTTTATTTTAAACTATTTTTAAAGTTTAATGAGTTATGTTACTCATTACGTTAATGAGTTTACCTAGATAAACATGTACCTAATAGGCACCAGTGTGAAGAAAGGGTCCAGACATTATTTATGGCTACTGTGACTATCAATGTTCCAGGAAGGTCTTAAAGGTTTGAGAGGGATGTAATCTTTTCCTCTCCCTGATTCTTAATTCTTACTGCAGGTTAAGTAACTTCCCCAGTGACCCATAACTGCCCAGGAACTGCTGGTTTGTTTGTGAATGAGCAACCTCTCCTGAAAGAGGAAGAAAAGCAAAACCTGCCTTTGTCATTCAGTAGATGGTGCTCTTCCCTTCTCCTGAAGTTACGGCTCATGCTGCTGATGCTTTAGGTGCCATACTTCAGAGGTGATTGAAGTCTACAGCTCTTCTACTTCTTGTGCCACCACTGCTTGCTACAAGTCTTCCCAAGATCTGACCATTAACCCCTGTGCCTAAGCCATGCCAGATTTTGCTTACTTCATTTAGCTAAAACTTCCTACTTTCTTACCTGAAAAGGACTATGTAAGAACATATGATGATTGGGTCTACTGACATTTTACAGTCAGTCCTCAGGAAACAAACTGTATATGCATTGTGCATGGACTTGATATCTCACCAGGCATGGAGCTGCTGGTTTTCTTTTGGGGTGCAGTGCTGTTCTGATATGTCCCTTCCACTCAGGCACCAGTACAGACTTATCTCAGCTATCTGGCTTTACAGGACCTACATCTATGTTGGTGGACTTCAAAGGGTCCAAAGGGCGAGTGCCCATGTCCTGGCACTCAGTTTGACTATCCTAATTCCTGACCTGTCCTGGAACAAGAATTGGACATGCTCCAGCCTGCACCTGGCATACTGAACCTTGATTCCCATCAGAAGTAAACCTGACAGCAGCTGTTCCTGCCAAGTCCTTGATCTGGGTTTTGCAGAAATGCTGAAGGCACATTAGAGTATGCATCTCTTGCTCTGTCTGGAGACAACCTGAGGGGTGAGATTTAAAGAGTCAGAAAAGTTGCAATTTAACACTAAGATGGAAGATTAAGCTCAAGGATCAGAATGTGGCTGCAACTGCTAGCAGGGCTTCCTAATAGGACCGGAAGGAAAGGGTTGATTCCTAGGGTGGGTACTCTTTATTGAAGAGACAAAGAGGCATTTGGTTCTTGTGGAAAGAAATGTTACTTGTTATATTGTAAGCTTATTTAATTTTGGAACACATTTGTGGGCACATGAAGGAGAAGATGACTGGGAAAAGCTAGCTTGCTGAGCTTTGAGTGAGAGTGATAGATCATGCCTGAGCAACCTGATTGCATTGCATATAAGGCAAGAGCCATGAATGTCATTTACACTGACTTTAGCAAGACTTTCAACTGTCTCCCACAGTGGCCTTGCATCCAAGTCTATGAATGTCTGGATGAGCAGACAACTAACAGAGTAAAAACGTAGTTGGAAGACTGTGCTCAAGCAACAGGAGGTACCAGGTTATATTTTACCTGGAGGCAGGTAAGATATACCTGGAGAAATTGCAGAATCTATCCTGGGACCTGTCCTGTTTAACAGCTGGAAGATGTGATTGAGTGCACTGTCATGAAATTTGCAAATGAGCTCAGACTGTGGGCACCACCAATATCCACAAGGGGAGGAATGTCACTCAGAGACACATAGACCGGCAGAAGGAATGGCTGGGCCGATAGGAACCTTATGAAATTCATCAAGGAACAATGCAAAGTCCTGCATCTAGAAAGGAAGAGCCCTTGGCAATGGTGTAGGCTAGGGACAGGCTGGCTGGGAAGCAGTTCTGTGAGGAAGGCCCTAGTGTGCTGGTGGCAGTGAGCTCAACACAAGCCAGCAGCAAGCCCTTGGCAGGAAAGGAAGTTTGAAAGAAGAGATTCCCCAGCATACTGCTGATTTCTGCCACAGAGTTTCTTCTAGCATCACCTAATCCCAGCTGCACCTGCAGGAACGTTTCTCATGTATGCTTGTCTTCTGTTTGGGGTCTGCACAATGCAAGTGTGTGCTCCCCTGAGTCTGAACTGAAGGAAAAAAAGCCAGAAAGTCTATGACAATAATTTCAGACTGATTGCTTTGCAAAAGTAATGATGGAATATTTGAACTCTTCTGTCTTTGACGTGCTGCACAATAAAGCAATAGAGAAAAGCCATGCTGAAGGTGGGATGCCTCCATCACCATTACAGATGAGACAGTTGATGCTGGAACTATCATGTCTTAATCTCTAAAGATATAGACACTCATTACACACTTATCACACCCTGCAGTCCCAACTAGATTACAGACAGTGGACCTACCTTTATTGTAGCAGAACACGCTCTTAGTGAAAAGGCCAGCACACAGGAAGAGATGTGGATCTAGTTTATATGGGTTCCAAACCAGAAACTCACATAGATGCTGAAATTCAGACTGTCAGTCTGGGTTTCATCCAGTAAATGAGAAGGGATTCATAGAATGCTTGAAGCAGCAAGCACATATTTTTCTAAGCTGGTTTGCTCATCCCTATTCAGAGGTGAATGTTGGATACAGTTCTGAGTCTAGCAAAAATAGTAAAAATTGTCATCAAAATCAGTATTCATTATGAGCTATTTACTACTCAAAACAAAATGCAGAGTTGATTTTCAAATTCCTTAAATTAATCACTTTTTATTTTGATTTTCTCTTTGTCTCTTGTTTGACATTTACTGTGCCATTCTTTACTAGTTGGATTTAACTCAACAGGATTTTTAAGAAATCCAAGCTTTGAAATATACTTTCCTGCCAAAGCTTGGCTCATTAATATGCTTATCAGTCTTGTACATATTCAAAGTATGTGTCATATAATACAAATCTGAATGTGTTGGTGTCATGGGGTTGAAATATACAATCTTTTTCTTTTTAATGGAGAGCCTTTTTAGAAATGTATTTATGCTGTTGTGTGGTTGTTGTTCTGCCTGTCTCCTGCCAAGCCAGCAGCTGGGGGAGGGCTTCCTGTGCACTTTGAGGTTCTGGTCTTTCCAGCAGGAAAACTCAAGCAACCAATAATACCTTTTCTGATCTTAATCTCAAAGCCCAGTAAGGGCTGATGCTCATCTGTATGGACAAAAAGCCGCAGCATTAAAATGTTTCCCTTTTTTTCCCTTCCCCTCACTTGTCTTTTTGTGTAAAAGTTTACAAATCAGACACCATAAACCATCTCAGAAGGCTGACCATTGGAAGTGTTTTCTTAATGTGTATACTTCTGTCAGCTTGGTAAACCTTCAGGCATTGCCTTTGCTGTGGGCTGGACCAAGACCACCTACAGCTCCTGCAGCAAAACAGGAACATACATTTTGCCCACAGGACTCTGACTTTCATCTCCTATTTCTCTCCTTGCCCTGAAACAGTGAAGGCTGATGTATGGAAGGCTGAAGGATGGAAGGCTGAAGGATGTGCACGTGGCTAGCAAGCTGTCCTGTCACTGTGTGGGTAGGCATGTGTGTGTCCAACACACTTACCATGCACTCTGAAGGGGTTGTTGCCCTGAGGACTTTGGCAATAGGAAGGGGTCCTGGACATCTGGGAGTGTCCCCCTTTACTTCACATCTGCTAACAAGACCTCCATAGGCACACTCTGAACAACATATAAATAGAAAACCTCCTTCGCTGTGTAGAGAACAGCAACTAGCCAGGCTTCTACCACCATCAGAAAGCTTTTGGACAGGTGGAAAATACTGATTCCTCTTTGAGGGCTGAAGAAAGTAATGGCTATCTGAATGCCATGTTATAGTATCAGGTCAGTTTGTACAAAAAGGAGTGATATCAGCTAGATAAATTAGTTACAAGGGACATACCCATAAATGCACTTCCTCTTGCCTTCTAAATTCCTGGATTCTCAGTCTAAAATAAATTTGGCAGAACTTTTTGCTTGAATTAAGAGATGTGTATTTTGCTGCGTACTTTTCACACTCATCTGTCACATATTAGCCCTCTATAGTCCACCCCTACTTTCTTTGAATTCCCTGGATATGTACAGAAGGAAACCCCTTTTTCTCACATTTACACTGAACATTGGTAGTGCAGGTCAGGATCCTGGATTACTTCTTTTATTTTTAAACTTAAACTTGCACTGAACTGACACCAGAAGTTGTTTGGGAGGCAAAACTGGGGAATATTCCAAGGGCAACACTCAAATCCCAGCCACCCATAGCCAGAACAAGCTCTGGTGGGAGTTATGGGTGGTGGATGGAAATGGCTGCGTGCCCTGATGCTTCCCCATCCAGCCCATGGGCAGCTGGGCAGGAGGAGATCCCATCAGACACCAGGCTAAGCCCTTGCTGAACCAGACTGTGCCAGGAGATTCAATCAGGTGCTGCTTTGCTGTCTTTGCCACACACGTCCCACTGAGCTTTTCACCACTTGGGTTATTTCAATCTTTAATTACTGCAAGTAATAGGATTGAAGGGTATTTAGCATATTAGAAAAGATATCTCTAAGTCTGGGTTATTGAACCAGTATTTAACCCAAAAAGCATTTGAACCAGTAGAGAGTCATAAATGTCAATGACATAAATTTATGTGTTTATTGATTATTTTCTTAATTTCAGTAATCAGTAAACAGCTGAGCAAATCCAGTTTGCTCTTCCAGACTTGTATTTCTAATTAGAACCAACAAATAGTCAGGAGAACAGCACAGAGTAGTCACTGATTGAGCCGTATAATAGATTTCTAAATAAATAGGCTACTTGGCTCCCTCTGGGAAAGAAGTCAGCTATGTGTCACTCACAGAAAGTGTTACACTGACAGGTGACAGGAATGGTTTTGGTTTTTCAGCAGAAGCTGAAATTTGTATAAGTTTATATTTCCTTGAATTCAGAGAAAGAAAACTCTGCAGCCATTTAAGTTCACAATTTGAAACCTGGCATTGGTAGGCTTTGGTAAAGAATGATATGTAAGTTTTCCACAGAAAGGTAAATGAACACAGTTTCAGAACATTCCAGAGATTTGTTATTGTGACTGGTTTGGGTGATACAGTGATTGCTTTTGAAGTTAGGTTGGTTTGGTTAATTTGTTGGGGTTTTTTTTTAATACCCTTTGGCTTACACGTGTCCTGCAGAATCCAGCACCTTGTTCTACCAGGTTAAACTGCTGATCTTCCAGAAAGAGAAAATGGTATAAATAGCTGTCAGCAGGGCAGGACAGATAAGTGTGCTATCTGGAATTTCCAGAGATCCTAATGTCAGGCCAATCCTGCAGCACTGAGTCAAGGCCGTGGGGGGGGGTGGGTGGGAATCCCATTGGCATCAAAATGATTTTTTACTCAGTAACGTGCAGTCTGTGACTTCACATCTATGAAATGAGCTTAAGAGTGAAAAAAGGAAAATGGTCAAACCAAAAAAACCTGTCCACCTTCGAAGACCTTGAAGTAATAATAACTTCTGCACTCCTCACTCTGACAAAATCCAAGCAGGCTTCTTTGCAAAGATGTCCTTAGCTCTGATGTCTTATGACAAATTCTTAAAACAGGAGGGAGTCCTTTGCTCACCATTTGTGGCAAGATTGCAGTGTCTCTGGTACTCCTAGACTCGCAATACAGTTTAAAAGTTCCATCTCATTGCAGCAAAGATGAAGGGCTGTGAGTCAAGAAGCTCTCTTTAGGACACACTAGGGCTCCTGATGGTCCACATTGTAAACCAATGTTTGGTTTGATCTTTAGTAGACAATTCTGCACGAGAAAAGAGTGAAGTTGACCATGAACTGCTGACTATTAACAGCATGGAGTTTTAGACACAAGTTTTGATTGCATTTCTTAATGAGTACAACTGTTACCTGAGAGCAGTATTTTAAATGAAGAACTGAGAACCACAATAGGGCACACAGCTTTTTCACTGAGCGTCTGAAGAGTCTTCATTGTCTTGGGTACAGGGACATTTTTTGAATAAGTGGCTTTTTGTTAATTTATTTTGTGAGAGTTTAATAAGTTTCTGTGCCCTAATGATCCTTGAAGGCGTCTTTTGGGTTTGTTTCCTACTATATTTATTCTCCATCTTCTTTCTCTGTATCTGGTGTTTCTCAGTCTTTAGCTTTGCTGCTGCTGCTGTTACTGGTAGGGAGATTTTGGAAGAGCAAATCCATATGGTCGTCTGCTGAAAATACAAGGACAGAGGAAATACAAATGGACACAAAGAAAAGGGTACAGTGTCTATGAAATCCTCAGATTGTAAGAGAAAATGCAAAAAAAAGTAAGAAGATAAAATACTTATTTTCAGGTGGAGGCGTCTAAATAGAGCATAAAATTTTAAGATATCATATAGTATTTTAAGCTAATTGTATCTACTTTGAGATGTCTCAGCCCAAAAGCATCAAAAGAACACTCATCCCTTAGTACCTAAATGTCACGCCTACTATTCAGCTACACAAATTTAAAGTTCACAATATATGTTTCCACTGCATGTTATCATTAACAAGACCAAGACCTACGTGCATTCATTACTCATGGCTATGAGGTACCAAAATGATATAACCATGAAAGGAGTTACTGAAGCTAAAGGACAGCATTGTCACAAGAATATACATATAGGAGCCAGCCATTTATAACAATGACCCTAGGAGATTTCTAAGCATCAAAGCTATGAAGTGCTGATATGCCTTCCTGCCGAATAGTGAGAAGTAAAACTCAAATTCCTCTTAAAGACAGCAACTGAATACTTTTGAACTGAATACTGAGGGCATTGCACAGTAATAGGAGAACACACACCCTATGGCCCAGGAAGATCCTTGTGTCATACACACCTTGGAGAAGGGGAGATTCAAGTCCATAGGGCATAAGATACACAGACCAAATTTCTGTCCTTTTTTACTTTCCTTTTCATCTTTCCTTTATCTCCATACCTTTTCACCCCAGTATGACTTTTTGGCACTTTTTACCCCTTCTTTCCTTCTCTATGAGGCAGGAATGTACCTGTCTTGAGGAAAATGAGAAAGTGGAGTAAGCACCAGGAGAACAAATAGAGAGGTGGAAAGATAAAGAACAGACTTAATGAAAGTGATCAAGGGCTGTATCTCAGTGTTCTTGGTGACTGTTTCAATCTCAAATTTTGGGGGTTGATTTTTTTTATTTTTCAGTCTCAAAACTTTACTAAAAATTTATTTTTTTTTCTTTGCTCCCCCCAAAAGCCTGAGAGTTTCTGGGCTCTAAAAGTTTATTTTGGATGGCTGGAATTTACCTAGAAAAGCCCCATGAATCCCTTCCCTTCACTGAAGTTCCCCTCCAAGAAGGAAAGACTTTTTCTTCTCCTGCAGGTGCTTGCTAAAGTTATCTGTGAAGAATGGTTGCAGAAGTGTCTGCAGGAATAATATTCTCTCCCAGCTTTGGGACCATAAATGCAGTCCCAGAATGTAGCTACCTTCCTGTTCTGGATCCTGCTGTCCTCTATGAGGAACTGCAGAGCAACTGAGAGCAGCAGCAAGCATGGTGGTGTCAAGATTTCACAGGCTTTGCTTATAATTACTTAAACAATTTGCTATAAGGAAGTCAATACAGTTTCCTTCGATCACACTTCAGTCTGCTGAAAACTCATGACTTGTCTTTGCACACCAGCAGTAGGTAGTGTTTATGGGTTTAATGGTGCAATATTCATGGATGTCTGGCACAGTGACATGCCCCAGAGTGCCCGGAAAACACCAACTGACATGGCATTCAGACACATGGCTGCCCTGGCGCTGGGCTCTTTCTGTTCTTTCTTTCCCGGGTGGCAAGGAGCCATGCCCTACCACAATGCCTTCATTGTTGAAACATAAAGAACAAAACGCGCGTGTTTAGCCTGATCAGTACTGGAACAAATCACTTGTACTTATCAGATTGCAAGGTCTTCTCTGGGAGCAGAAATTTGGAGTCCTCAGAAACTCAAGCAAAAGAAACTCAAAGTAAAAAGCAACAGGCAAATCAAAATGCACTGAGACATGTTCACCTTTACATATGGTGTTTCACCAGTTGCTCGTTTTTGTAACTAAGTATTATAGAGCTAGGGCAACATGCATCCAGATATCCAAACCGGAGGAAACTTTCTTATCATTAACTACATACCTGAAATACTCATCCTTACTGCCTAAAACCAGATTTGTTCCTGTTAGGAAAGCAGATATGAACTAAAAAATTAAGAACTGCAACCTGGGAAAAGACTAGCCCAATGCTCTCTCTTGTACCATTTCACTTGAGAAATTGCCAAAGGCCATTTGTCCATAATTACACCCCAGGAAGTTTCTTCTCATCCCAGCACTTCAGACGTGACTCTGATACTGCTGGATTTAGGACAAAATACCCTAGCATGTCAAACTCTGACATAGATAAAAATCAAATAAATGTCATCTGCGTAAATGGTTGTCCCTTACTTAAATCCAGGAAAAGGATCACCTGATACAATTGCTGGTATCTGCGGTTCAGTGACCTTGGCAGTCTCCTTCAGTCTTATATTATTTCCAGGTCTCTGCAAACAGCTGTTTGATTTTTACTAACCATCTTCTGCGTCTCTAAGTAAGCTATTATATGTTCTTTTTTCCCTAAGTTTTAATAATACTGAGTTTGGTGCCAAAAAGCAGAGACCAGTCAATTATGTTGCCTGCTGAGCTTGAGAAATA